TGCCTCATGTACCTGATGACCTGCACTCGACCTGACCTTGCATACCCTCTTAGCATTCTCGCACACTATGTTGCTCCTGGGAGACACAGACCGGAGCACATGGCGGTAGCGAAGAGGGTGTTGCGCTACTTGTGCAGTACGTCAGGCATGGGGCTTGTGCTTGGAGGGCGGAGTCCAGTGGTCCTTACTGGACACGCAGACGCTTCTTGGGCGGACGACCAGGCTACACAGCGGTCGTCGCAGGGTTACACCTTCAGCCTTGGTTCCGGCTCTGTTTCGTGGCGGGCTACCCGCTCGTCTTCTGTTCTTGGCTCCAGTTGTGAGGCTTTGATCTACGCCGGGGCCATGGCTGCACAGGAGCTTCGCTGGCTCACCTACCTGCTGTCTGACTTTGGAGAGGTGCCTCGTTCTCCTCCAGTGCTGTACGTAGACAACACGGCCATGCTGGCCTTGTGTCGAGAGCAGAGACTGGAGCACAGAACGTAGCACATTGCTCTCCGCTACTTCCTTGCTCGTGAGCTGCAACAGCGTGGTCAGCTGCGTCTTGCGTACGTGGCCTCTGAGGCCAACACTGCTGATGTTTTCACCAAGGCACTTGCGCCTTGTGATCATCAGCGTTTCTGTACTCAGCTTGGTCTTGTGCCTGCCTTGCCTCACTTGCTCACCTCTTGACCTTGCTTGTACTGTTACATATATATACACCTGCTCTTGCTTATGTAGCCTTTTATATATAGATGTGTACTCCTGCATATGAACTGGCCTTGTGGCCTTGAACTTGTGCTCGGAATGTGTGGTGACTTTGTGATCCACCCTGAGCTTGCTTTGCTTTGCTTGACTGGTCTTGTGACCCCTTGTTCTCCCCCACTCAAGCAAAGCACCCAATATTGGGTCTGCCTACTCGCGCACATCAAGGAGTTGAACCCGGATTGGATTCGCGGGATCAACGCAGTGCAGAAGCAGTGGCGGAACTTGATACTATTCTGGAGGGATTACAGGCGGGGTGATGGTAGGTCGGAAAACGGCTCTGTTGTAAAGCCTCCGTGGTACCCGTAAATGGAGTTGTACAACCAAGACAATGCCGCCGCCGAACCGCATGCGGTGGATGGCGGTGGTGCCACGAATGTCGGCGTGCCGGCCGGCATGCATGTTCTGAGCTCCTCTCAGCCCGGCGTTTCTACGCTGACATTTTCATGGGACGTCCACTTAATTAGAGTATGTGCGCTTTACTAATTGCCGTGTTGTTTGCCATATGAAGTTTGTTGGTACCGTGCAACATAACTTTTCATGTTTCGAGAATGTAACACACTAATGCACATGGTCTCTCTCCCCCATATCCATTCACAGCCCCGCCGGCGCCAACAAACTCTACACCTAAGCGTGCTCGAGTCCATGAAACGGCAATGATGCAAGCTGCAATGCTTGTCTCTGTGACAATCAAGGACTGTCACGGCGACGCTATGAATTGGATCGAGGGACTCGTGCGCGAATGGATGCAGTAGGATTTGCGTGTAGCCCGTGCGCGCATGTCGGAGTCCGCTCCACCGCACGTGCATCGTGGGACGGCCAACGACAGCCCTCTGCCACCACGCGCGGTGTCTGTACCTCCTCCCGATCGCCGCACGCCGGACACGGACGTTGAAGATGCTGGCCGTGCACGTGACGCTGGTGGCGACGCCCACAACGTTACTCCAGATGATGACGATGTGGAGATATGGGTGCGCGGCGCTGTCGATTGAGGTAAGACTCCTATAGAGCCTCTCCCAGTCTTTTCCGTCTTTCTTGCAAAGCTGGCTGCGTAACGGGCACGCACGGTTCGCACCTATGTTTTGCGATGGCACGTCGACCATGGATCTCAGTTTCGCGGCAAATTGAACCAAGCCAAGTTGATTCGCTTGACATCTGCAATACTCTCGCACATGTTATGTAGGATCACGCAACACGTGACGCCGACGAGAACACGCCATAGCCTGCAGTCGTTGCGCCGATGAAAAGGCGCCATCGTCCTTTGAAGGCACCGATGCACCTCTCTACAGCCATGCGGGTGCCGCTCTAGTAGTAGTTGAAACACTGGGCCCAATCGTCCATCAGATCCTCTCCGCGCGGGGCATGCAGGGGGGTTAGGCAGTAATCTCTGAGGGGGTATGCAGCGTCCCCAAGAATCTGGTACGGGGTTATGTCCCCTCGTTGTAACCTTTCCAATAGTGTACTATCTTTGAATACACGCATGTCGTGCTCGCTACTGGGATATTATTTTTTTCCCTATATTATGCAGATTGTTACGGCTCTAATTGGCATTGCAGCGAAGGCTAGCGTCCATTTTCCAACCTTGGATGGATCATGGTGTCAGAATGAACAAGTGTGTTTGCACTAAGAAAGAGTTGGGTACAAGTAGGAAACCCTCAACTTACTGTACCCCATAGTAACTACCCCACTACAGCCTAGACAAACTGTAGTAGATATAACATTTGACACATGGCAGTGTCCAAGGCCTTTGGTGGCGTGAAGGTGATTGCCTGGAACATCAAGCTCGTTGGAGCTGCGTACGTGTGCTACGTGGTGTCAGTAGATCTGCACTATGGATGTCTGATTGATCCTGGAGAGGGTTACAGGCGCGTTCGCCTTGTGAGAAGACTAGAAAGGCTTAGGAGCCATAGCTAGTAGGTCAAGTGAGTTGAGTATCGAGCAAGTTGATAAGGAGAAAAGAAATCGAGAGAATGAGGGTTTCACTATGGAATGTTGTACAAGATATAGTGAAGGAAAAGGGTGCACCACCTAACATGAAAGCGATATAACTACACTAGGTCTACACTGCAGGAAGTTATAGTAATGCATACAATTACATTCTGACACGTCTGGGGGGTTATAGGCGCACTGACCCGCTACTGAAATAAGCCCTTTTATCCCAATGGTCTAGTGGTTGGGATTCTGACATGGTATCAGAGCGGTCTCGGGTTCGAATCCCAGTGTATGCACATGTTGGCCGTTGCCACTGTGCTCAGTCATGGGCCTCCCAGTGTGGGGGGGTGTCAGTAGATCTGCACTGTGGATGCCCGATTGATCCCGGAGAGGGTTACAGGCGCGTTCCTCTGAGGGGGTTATGGGCGCACTGACGCGCTACTGAAATAAGCCCTTTTATCCTAATGGTCTAGTGATTGGGATTCTGACACGTGGTAAGCTTTATTGTTGTTTTTACATAATTGATTTCTCAATGCGTGTCTAACATTGCTTCCTTACCACTTAATTGCAGGTTGAATGGCCCATGGCCAACGCGAAGGGAACCAAGGTTCCTACAATGTCTGGAAACGAGCTGCTCAACAATCAGAACATGGAAAGGAAGACTCAATAAATTATTTCGTGGCTGAAGGAGTGGTACAATCGTGACCTAAGTGTCTGGAATCCAAGCCACTCAGCTGGATTATAAATGTGCAAGGCAGTAAAAATTGAGATTGAAAGGTTCGAAGGGCAGGTTTTCCCATATGGTGTTCCGGCCTAATAGTTTTGTAGTTTTTGTCTTGTATGTGTAATGCAAGCTTACAATTCTAATTGAATGACTCCATAAAATAGCACGTTTAATTAATTTAATATGCATTAATCAAAATTTATATATTAAATAAAATGAACTAGATTGTATTTACTATTTATGTCTTCTTAAATAAATGCGTGTACTGACGGACATAAATCTGAAGTGTATATTATCAAAAGTATATCGTAATCGCATACCGTTACATTATTAACAATCACAAAAGCAGTTGACATTTGATGGTGTATAGATCGTCGGTTTGTTGAAGGGTTGGGTGTCGATGTAACAAAACACTCGACTGGTAAAAATTCAACCATCGATTGGATGAACCAACCAGCCCTGGCAAGATCGCCCCATTCACGAGGGGACGAGAAACAATTCAAGTCCGATTCAAGTGGCAGTTGCTCACCGACAGTCCACACGAATGACAATCGCCATTTACAGACTTCAATCAGTACTACCGTTTCCAGCCTTAAAGATCCAAATCCTCGATCGTCAATGGTCAGCTCAAGCAATTTCGAGATCAAACCATTCACTGCCCTAATTCAGAAGTTCACGCCCTTACCCAGGACCCGAAAATTTCCGATGTCCCATGGCTCTGCGCTGCACCTTAAAGCCCGCGTCCCAAATTGCGGGCCGCGAGGGTCAAGTTTTTAAAACTTGACGAAGTTGAGTGTCCAAGCTTTTGAAAGTCACGCACTTGCAATTTGGGACTTTCGAAGACAGATTCACTCACCAGGGGGAAAACCGAGGGTTGGCTGGGTCTCGCGAAAAAAACGAATCTAGACGAAATCGGAAACTCTCGCCAAAGCCCACACCAGAAAAACTCCCTCAAGTCAACTTTTAAAAGCATGAACAATTTGGGCCGCCGGCTTTAACTCGTCACGATCGACAGAATACTCCCACTACCACTCCCTCCCCTCAGACATATTGTCATGCTTTCCCTTTGCTGCTCGGGTGGGCCCGCTTTCTCACACTCGGCTTGCCCGCTTTCTCACACTTGGTTTACCCGCTTTCTCACACTCAGCTTGCCCGCTTCTCGCACTTGACGGGCCCGCTTTCTCACACTCGGGGGGGTCGCTTTCTCACACTCGAGGGGGTCGCTGTTTTCACACTTGGGGTGGTCGCTTTCTCACACTTGGGGGGGTCACTTTCTCACACTCGTGGGGGTCGCTTTCTCACAAGTGGGGGGGTCGCTTTCTCACACTCGGGGGGGTCACTTTCTCACACTCGGGGGGGGGTCGCTTTCTCACACTCGGGGGGGTCTCTTTCTCACACTCGAGGGGCCTGCCGAAGTCCAAGCGGGCCCGTCGTTTCGCACCCTCTCTTCCCTTCCGTTCCCTTCCCTTCGCATCTCATCCCATTTTCTCAATTCCATTCCCCCTTTCAACTGCCCTTCCCTTCCCATATTTCAATTGCATTTAAGACTAGTTAATTATCCTACCGGTAAGTCCTGTTCAGTAGATACATTCCAATGCTGATGACATTAGCACTCATTGTTAACCATCCTCATCACATCATTGCATTAGGTACAAGGCTGATCGCCTCATTGGCTAACTGCCCTTCCCGTTCTTCCCTCCTACATTCCTACTGAGCTGTGAAGCCCTCGGTACACCATGCCATGCCCCTCATTCTCAACGTAACCCACTTTCTCCTCCCACATCCACCCCGTCTTGCTCCGCCCTGCCTTCATCTCGTGCTACCTCATCCGCCCCATTCCCCTTGACCTCCTCAGCTGTGCCACCCTCTGTTCTCTCCTCCCCTGCACTCGCTCAAATCCATCCTCCCACTGCTCCACCAGCCGCTATCGCTCCTCATCCTGAGGTGCCAAAGGGGTCAGTCAGGCAGGGGATGTGAAAAAAATGTAAAATAATTTCTCGTTTTCAATTCTGCACCATTCGCACTCTTCAATTGTCCTGTAATGCACCCAACAGCCTATCTCGTACCCTTCGATCATGCCATGGTAGGCCCATCTATTCACATACTTCAAAAGAATCTGGGTGACAAACGTCTCCCTGGTCTCGCACCCTCTCGCTCCACGCATCTCCAGGTTTGATTTCCTGCCCTGCTACCTTTAATCCACCCACGTTGCTGGATTTTGTCCTGCAGGCACCAAGGAAGCAATCCACAGAGAAGATATTGGGGAAGACAAACAAGGCCAAGGATCACGAGTAGAACACAAGAGAAGTGGGGACCAATAAAAGGGGGAAAATGTGTTGACAGACGAAAGGTGGTTCCCGCAAGTGGGAGAAGATATGAGAGATAAGAATTTATTGCATCAACTCACTTCAAACATAAATGGTATAACAGGCATTGGGCAATTCATGTAGTTTAGACGACGTTCTGATATGTGGTTCATCCTTGCTGGGGGGGGCATAATCAACTCAAGCAGTGCTCTGCCTGCATCAATAAGAAACTGAAGTCCAGGATAACAAAACTTGCTTCTTTGGATAAATGAAAAGCTGCCATAGTACAAGCAAAAGAAGTTACCCAGCAGGCATTTCCAAGCATACCTGAATCGGATCGGAAAATTCGACAAGCGATCATCAATCTGATAACCAGGCTTGAAACACAATGTCCTTCCCTGAGGCCACATCAGCACTACAGCATGCAACCCTTCTTTGCTCTCGCTCATTGCAGCACGCAACCCTTTTTTCCTCTCGCTCGTTGCAGCACGCAACCCTTCTGTCCTCTCGCTCGTCGCAGCACGCAACCCTTCTTTGCTCTCGCTCGTCGTAGCACGCAACCCTTCTTTGCTCTTGCTCCTCGCAGCATGCAACCCTTCTTTGCTCTCCCTCGTTGCAGCACGCAACCCTTTTTTGCTCTCCCTTGTCGCAGCACGCAACCCTTTTTTGCTCTCCTTCGTCGCAGCACGCAACCCTTCTTTGCTCTCCCTCGTCGCAGCACGCAACCCTTCTTTGATCTCGCTCGTCGTAGCACGCAACCCTTCTTTGCTCTCCCTCGTCGTAGCACGCAACCCTTCTTTGCTCTCCCTCGTCGCAGCACGCAACCCTTCATTGCTCTCCCTCGTCACAGCACGCAACCCTTCTTTGCTCTCCCTTATCGCAGCACGCAACCTTTCTTTGCTCTCCCTCGTCGCAGCACGCAACCCTTCTTTGCTCTCCCTTATCGCAACACGCAACCCTTCTTTGCTCTCCCTCGTCGTAGCACGCAATCCTTCTTTCCTCTCCCTTGTCGCAGCACGCAATCCTTCTTTGCTCTCCCTCGTCGCAGCACGCAATCCTTCTTTGCTCTCCCTCGTTGCAGCACGCAACCCTCCTTTGCTCTCCCTTGTTGCAGCACGCAACCCTTCTTTGCTCTCCCTCGTTGCAGCACGCAACCCTTCTTTGCTTTCCCTTGTTGCAGCATGCAACCCTTCTTTGCTCTCCCTCGTTGCAGCACGCAACCCTTCTTTGCTCTCGCTCGTTGCAGCACGCAACCCTTCTTTGCTCTACCTCGCTGCAGCATGCAACCCTTCATTGCTCTTGCTCGCTGTAGCACGCAACCCTTATTTGCTCTTGCTCGTTGCAGCACGCAACCCTTCTTTGCTCTCGCTCATTGCAGCACGCAACCCTTCTTTGCTCTCGCTCGTTGCAGCACGCAACCCTTCTTTGCTCTCGCTCGTTGCAGCACGCAACCCTTCTTTGCTCTTGCTTGTTGCAGCACGCAACCCTTCTTTGCTCTCGCTCATTGCAGCACACAACCCATCCACCTCGTGCCTTAGCTCCTGCCGCAATGCATGCGCCACTACCTCCATTTTCTCCGCCCATCTGCTCACTGCATCGTTTTGAGGCACCTCAAAACTACACTGGCTTCATTTTCTCTGCCCATCTGCTCCCTGCATCGTCCAATTCCTGCCTCCACTCCTGCCCCACTTCTTGCTATGTCTCTGCCGTACTCCCAACCAGTCCCTGCACTCCATTTGACCTTGCCGCGTCCCATGCCTCATTCTCCTCTGCCACCAGCCTCAACCATGCAGCCAACTCCTCCTTCAGCTGCTCCTGCTGCTGCCACAACTTGTGGAGCTCTTGCTGCACCCTTCTGTAACTCCAGATACCGCAGACTGCGTTCCAGGCACAAAGAGGGATGGCTTGATGTGCTGCATATGTAAGGCGGGAGCAAGAGACTACCTGCAGAAAAAAAGACAGAGGCGGGGGCTGTTGGTGCGTGATTCAAAGATCAGTGATGGTTACTGTATAATCACTCACTCCATGTTCCAGCTCGTTAACAGAGCAGTGGCAGAACAACGTTGACCAGCTCACTAATGAGATATGAAAATGCAAGTGGAATAATGGAGCAGAGAGGGCACAGCTGGAACCAGGATGAGGTCATGGAGATGGGGTTGAGGATGGAAGGTCACAGTATACAGTGTGTGCATCACATGTTGTGCTTCGCTGTCTCAACCTACTTGTGCAGAATCAAAGAAATTCGCACCAGAATTGACATACTAGCAGCCTTAATCCTCTAAATCTCAGTCCTCAGCTATTGAAGCAGCTTCTTGGCAGCCAGCAAGGTGCAGTGGATGTGAGTGATGAGGCGGGATAAGGAGATGCCCATGCACCAGAGGATTAGCGTGAACGTGGTACACAACATGTATGCGTGAATCAACTGACACAAGATTGTTTTTGAGGCGCCTCAAAAGATGAGCGCGAACGTGGTACACAGCATGTATGCGTGAGTCAACTAACACAAGATTGCTTTTGAGGCGCCTCAAAAGATGAGCGCAAACGTGGTACACTGCATGCAAGCGTGAATCAACTGACACAAGATTGCTTTTGAGGCGCCTCAAAAGATGAGCACGAATGTGGTACACAACATGCATGCGTGAATCAACTAACACAAGATTGGAAGGGAGGGGGGTTGGAGGGGGGTTGGAGGGGAGGAGGGGAAGTTTGACGAAGGGTGGAGGATTGTAAATAGTCACAGAATAGTCAAGGCACATTGGAGGGCAAAGCTGAAAGGAAGCGAGGGAATACGGTAGCAATATGAGGCAAATAGGCCTAAGGAGATAAAAGAGAGGGCGGATGGCAGGAGAGCAGTAAAAGTGGCTATGATAGTGAAAAGATTACGTTACAGAAATGACACCTGGTCTGTATCACCGTATTTCCAGTTCCAAATATTTCTCTCCCTTACCATCAGGTACGCCTTGGCAGCAGCAGCATCCTTTCCCAGCTCCACCATTGCACCACCCACCGCAAAGGCGTTGCGCTCCGAGTCGCCCATGCCAGCAGCAGCCAAAGCCTCGCCAACAGCCATAAGACGTTTCATTATACTCACGCTCTTTACGGTCTAGTCACCCCCTTTTCACTCATGCCTCACTGATAGAGGAATCTGTGGTAGCAATTTGACAATCGGGTTCCCGAAAATGTTGGAAGCGGGAAAATAGCTGAGAATTTGTTCGTGAAAGCCAAGCGGTTGAGCGGACAAGATACAGATTTATGAGATCCATGAAGAAATCAACTCCATGAGTGCACCACGAGCATGGGCGGAGCGAGCATGAGCGGAGCGAGCATAAGCGGAGCGAGCATGAGCGGAGCGAGCAAGAGCGGAACGGAGCTAGCATGAGGGGAACGAGGATGAGCACAGCGAGCATGCGCGGAACTGAGCGAGGATGAGCGGAATGAGCACGAGCGGAATGAGCATGAGCATAACGAGGATGAGCGGAATGAGGACGGGCGGAACAAGCATGAGCAGAACGAGCATGAGCGGAACGAGCATGAGCGGAACGAGCATAACGAACAACTCGGCACCGCGCGAGCTGTAACTTGACCATTGCATCATGATGTCGTCAGATGTGTCGACTCGGCGAGTCTACCTGATGCGGCAGGGAGGCTCTGGCTAGCGGTACGAGAGGCAATGCTATGCCATGACCCAAGGCACTCACAAAGAAGCCAGGAGTAGACTGCCGCCATCGGAAAAAACCGAGTGTGTTGGGGTGGGTTGGGGAAGTTTGGGTTAATTGTGATGCCTTTCCTTCAGTTTCCCGTCCACCTCGTACATAGTAGATGGGTTGTTCCCAAATAGACTGTGGATCGTACCTGCTGTGGATCAGGGGATTGCGTCTGATTACACGCGTCACTGTAGAGTCTAGTTCAGCACGTTCGAACTCGGTTGCAGCCGTGTTGTCAATCGCAGTCAACACTGAATATGAGCGGAAGTTGGCGTGGATCATCATGACTGCGTACACGTGTAATCTGTAGGGGTCGTTTGTATCGCTGTGTGGCGATTTAGAGTGCAGCTTTGTCCATCCGAGTCGCTTTGGCGAGTCGATGACGAAGGGGCTACTTTGTCTAACGAATTGTTAATAAGAGCTAGAATCGAAGTAACATTCCGTTACTGTTCGCATGCCCTGTGATTGTAGTCGGGTTTATATATGAGAACATTGTGGTACAGTGACTGTACTGTATTCAACATCCATAATCTTAAAAAATATTAGATAGTGTGTTTTTGATAAATCGATTCAATAGCTACGATTGTTCATATTAAGTATACGGCTCCAGAGCATTTGACAACACGTTATTTCAGAGATGCATTATCATTGAAGATTAGCATTGTAACCCTAGCAGTCATGTAATAACCACTCCAACCTCATGCTAAATAAAATACTCTTAGCATCCAATTTCCTAGGGTAATCCTGCAGGGAACACCTGAGACTCATAACCCTCAATCAATAGCTTCACGTTGGGGGACAACCTAAAGCCAGCAGGAGCAACCGGGTCCCAGATCGCGGTGTCTCCGTTCTCGTATGTCTCCCTAATCCAGGTGACCAGGTGCCCGATCTTCACCTCGACGTTCTGCTGGTTCACGGTCTTGGAACCGTCGAGTGCAGGGTTCACTCGCCCTCTGGCATTTGCCAGAGGCCATTCCACCTGCATCAAGAAAAGCAACCAAAATGAGTCTTCACGGACTGGCGGTTATGACCTTAAACCCTCCCCTGGAATAGCGACTCACTCACCACATTCAAGGCGTAGCCAACTGGAGGGAACTTCACCATGATCGTTGTCGCCTTTTTGCTCCCAAAACCGCGCAGCAGGACGAGTTTGAATGCCCGGTTGGCAAACGGCCTACACGTTGCAGTGTTAAAGTGCCAGTTGGAACCAAAGTGTGCTGTTAAAACAAACAGGAAACGATGAATACAAACAATACACGTTGCTGCAAAATACAAAACCATGGCATTAACAGAGGCCTTAACAAACAGACGACGACACACGTACCATGAAGGTAGAACACGGTCCACTCCGAAGGGGACCTGCTGCACTGCGGCGCCACTCCTTCGTCCGCCAACTCCTTCCATTTACTCTCTGGGACGCACCCGCCCGGGCCGCGCCCGTAAGTCTTGATGTCGCCGTTGTAATTGCTCCGCCGCTCTGACGCCTTGCGCATGGCCAGGTTTTCCTTTCCAGGGAACATGCAGATGACATAGTAGAATATGTCCTTCCCCACGCCAGCTTCCACGTACTTCTCTGCCATCATTTCTCTCAGCTCGGGCCACAGAGGGTAGAACTTCATCCTCCATGCAGGCGCGGCGGTCGTCATGAACGTGAAAGCCTCAAACGCCTTTTTCTGCTGTCAGGGCATTCCGGGTGATAGTGTTAATAAAAGAAAGACAGGGAGATGCGATTGCTTAAACATTATCAAACAATTATAGGAAGTATATCCTATCTCAAAACAGAACCGCGAACAAACTCACCGAAAACAAATGGTCTTGTTCAAGTGTTGTAGGGACCAAGATGTTGCCGTTCTGGTCACGTGGTAACTGCTGCAATTCGAAAGACGGGATCAGCGCAAAGTTCAGGGTTTGCCTTTGCTCCTCGCCGTTGTTGATGATTTGCTGCCGAAGTGCAACGACCAGAGCGGACAACTCGTCGTAGCGCAGATTGAGCACTACGTATGCAGCCTCCTTATCGTCCAGGGCGATTTGGAGGTCGAGTGTGTGGAAATAGAAACAAGAATGAATGAACTATGAATGAAGTCGGTACAAGTACTAACCCTAATTGGGTTGTACCCCCTATGGGATACCCCACTACAGCCTACACAAAAGTATAAGCTATAATGTTCTGACACACCCCCATAGGCAAAGTGGGGTAGAACAAAGGGGTCACAAGACTGGTCAAGCAAAGCAAAGCAGAGCAAGCTTAGGGTGGATCACAACGTCACCATACATTCTGAGCACAAGTTCAAGGCCACAAGGCCAGTTCACATGCAGGAGTACATATATATATAAGGCTAGACAAGCAAGAGCAGATATATATATATATAGATATATGTAACAATACAAACAAGGTCAAGGGGTGAGCAAGTGAGGCAAGACAGGGACAAGACCCAGCTGAGTGCAGAAGCGCTGATGATCACAAGGCGGAAGTGCCTTGGTGAAAACATCAGCAATGTTGGCCTCAGAGGCCACGTACGCAAGCCCCAACTGACCATGCTGCTGTAGCTCACGAGCAAGGAAGTAGCGAAGAGCAATGTGCTTTGTTCTGTGCTCCAGTCTCTGCTCTCGACACAAGGCCAGCATGGCCTTGTTGTCTACGTATAGGACTGGAGGAGAACAAGGCGGCTCTCCAAGGTCGGTCAGTAGGTAGGTGAGCCAGCGAAGCTCCTGAGCAGCCATGGCCCTGGCGTAGATCTCAGCCTCACAACTGGAGCCGAGAACAGAAGACGAGCGAGTAGCCCACCACGAAACAGAGCCGGAACCAAGACTGAAGGTGTAACCCTGTGACGACC